TATTCTTTTATTGCTAACATTCTTTTATTGATCCTAATAAATTTTTTGGGGTTACATTAACATTTCAGCAATGCAGCACAAAGATAAATGGCAGTGTCTACACGTCCGGCGCGCCGGACATCTCCCGCACTATTTGTCCGGCGATCAAGTTACATGACCACTGTAACAAAGTGGCGAGAGATATCTTGTCGGTCAGCCTTGTCACGTGACTGCGAATGATTCAAAACTATTGTTAATTTTAAAATCTATTTCTCTACCAAGTAATGTACTGAGTATCTTGAATGCAAATAATAGAAAAAAACTTAAGTGAAAGTGGCTTGTAAACATTTTTGTTTAGTTTGTTATTTGAGTTTGTGCACCAGTAATCCATAAAATAAATTAGGGGCCAGTGTGGAGTAGGCAACCAATAAAAGTAAAAGATTTCATTTTAAATTGTTACAAAATATTTAAAAACTTCTCATGAAACTACTGTTGGTGATGAACATGATAATATAAATATAATATAGTAAAAAATATTTTACATTAAAATGGGAGTAAAAAAAACGATCCTTTCCCCGGTATTGATCCTCACATTATAATATTGTCAAGCGACCACTCTACCACTAGACCACACAAGATCTACCAAACTGTACTTCGTTTGGAATTATAAAAATACTAGCCGTCCGGCGGTCACGTGACATATCGCCGGACGTATATCTTGCGCACTATTTGTCCGGCGCGCCGGACTTGTAGACACTTCAAAGATAAATAATCTTACAGAAACAACATTTTAAAACTAGAACAAATTTCCCCTAAGTTAACAATGAAGGGAATCAAAAATGATAAGAGCGCGGCTTGTGCCAAAGTATCTTTTCTGTTTGCGCTTCGTGCACATCCACATATTTTCTACATTTTGTGTGGACACATGTGAAGGTGTTATTTTGATCAACTGAGTTTTGTCAATTTACCAAACTCCAGCAGTGTTTGTAGATTTGTGTTTAATATGATTTATTTTTGCATAAAACCACCCATCTATCCGATATAATATATGAAACTGGTAGAATATTATTATATCTCTTTAAGCACTCCGGTAAAGTGATTGCACATTGAGTGACATTGGTCTTGCTCTTCAACAAGAAAACAGCACCCACTCTCTATTTCTATGCCACTGAAAACCCAGTGACCTTCTCTCAGTATACCCCTTCTCTCCACTGTCCATAATAGTACTTCCGGCAATATTGGCAATATAGCACTTCTCTGAAGTCTTTATGCCAGAAAAACATGATTTTTGACTACCCGCCGCCGAGGTGAAAGATGATCAAAACATTTCATATCTCGGGCTAAGACGTGGCTTTTTTTTTTTTGGTGGCCTTTAGTGCATACGTCCCACGTTGGGAAACTCTGGCCTAGATTTATACTCTAATTCTAATACTCAGCTTGGACTTGGATTTGCAGTCAGCTCTGGCTCTATTCCGAGATTAGTCAAGTAAGAATTTTGTTATTAAATTCTCATCATTTCAATTTATAAAAAGAAAATAAGGTACCCGAATAACGTTGCAGTATACAGATGTAACTCAACTTGAAACTAAAATTTTACAACAATACGATACATATTTTTTAACTTTATTACTATTTTTTTTTTTAAGTTATAATTTCTTGTACTGCACTTCGTAAAGCTTAAAACATAATAGATGTACTTCAACTTCTACTACTTGTTTACTTCCGGCGGTGTGGCTTTTCTTGATTTCTTTTGTTTTTAAATCCCCTTCCTTCTAGTCTACGGCTCAGTATATTCCTACTGTCTGAGTAAACTCACACCAATAACAATGCAAGCCAGTATTCTTTTCCACCACATTAAATAAATATAAATTCAAAGTTATTATTATAATTACATAAATGATCTTATGCATTGAGAAAAAATAGTATATTCTGCTATAAATCATCAATGTTTACTATTTTTATTGTACAGCTTACATGCGCCTAAATAAGGATACATTTTTGTAGTAGGCCTATATTAAGTTAATAACTAGGCTTTAATTTGGGTAAATTAAACGGGGCTATATGACGACATTGCTGTATTAAAACCAGCAGAAAGACCTAGGCTGGCTAAGTTTTGTTAATTTTTTCTTCTTAATCATGTCGTGTCTGTCACTTGGAATACATGATTGCTAAATAGGCTATGACTACTGACACACCTAAATGGTTTAAGTTGTAGATATTAAAATATAGCCTGCATAAAGTCTCTTCACTTTCTTTATCTTTTTACATTTTGTATTATTAGTGGCGATGATGGCAAGCGTTTGATATTCGTTTTTGTATCATTGAAGAACTTGTACAATTTTTCAGTAGCTTCAACTTTGAAAAGTTCGTTCGCCTAAATTCTCAACACCTTCTTAACATTTTGGAATGTTGATTGTGTGTCTCTTTTTTTTTAATTTTTTAAACCCTTTTGCTATCATGGCACGTTTTCGTGATACTTGTTTCAAATTTGATATGAAATAATTAAAATGCAGCATTTCATGGGGATAATTATATTTAAAACTTTGGGCATTTTCTTGAATTTCGGTATGTGTCCTCGTCTTGAACTCAACAAGAAACCGCATTTGAGAATGAACTTTGTTATACGCTTCAACATGATGGAAAGCTGTGGAGTTCACTTATTCTAATATTGGTAATTAAGATTTAATTTTGAAAGTTTCTCTTCCTCAAAGCACAACCGTTTCCGAGTTACCAGCCTTGCCATTTTCTTATTGAAATATGCACCGTTTTATGAGTGTATTGCACGTCGGTTTAGATTCTACTTATTCGCTCCTCATGGTCATCAAAAATTTCTCAGTGTGAAGCTAAAAAATGGAGCAGTAATTCGGAAAGTTACAGTGGAATCTACATTGCTTTCAATTAGAGTGATCTGCTGACTCCACGGATCCGTACATTGGATCAATACTCGTCGACTCCATACAAGATCACATCAATTAAAAAGAACTGATTGTCTGTCGTGGGGACCATAAGGCGCGTGCCCGCTTTGCATTTAGCGGGGGGGGGGGGGCCCAATCCGACAGGGTCGACTACCAATCTGACAATGAAAAACATCCAGTCGACCTTTTGTTAATTGCAAAAATTGCGGTACCTGTGATCCCATCAATTAAAAAGAACTGATTGTCTGGCGGGGGGACCAAAAGGCGGGTGCCCGCTTTGCATTTAGCGGGGGGGGGGGGGTCCAATCCGACAGGGTCGACTAGCAATCTGACAATGAAAAAACTCCAGTCGACCTTTTGTTAATTGCAAATATTGCGGTACCTGATACCACTAGATAATATAATTGACAATAGTATAACCCCTATTGCGTCACTAGGTTTGGTGTCACCTGGTGCGTAGGCGTAGGGGCAGGGCCGGCTCAAGGCGCGTATGATGCGTGGTTATCACACAGGCGCCAAGGCACCCAAACCGCAGAAGGCGACAAAATAAATAAAAAAATTAAATTTCTGAACTCTTTCCATAATTTTCCAATGGTGACAACTGCATATTTTCACCCAACCTAAAAATCTCTAGCGCCGGCCCTGCAAGGGCTCACGAGGTCAACCCCCCCCCCCCCCCCCCCCCCCCCACAAAAAAAATAAAAGACTTCACCATGTTCCCGTGGACCTCTCCAGAATTCCTCCCAAAGCAGAATGTATACTTAATGTATTTGATATAGAAACATTTCTAACATGATATAGTTAATAGTAATGTTATTTTGTACGATTTTTAATGGTCTCACCAACAGACACCCACCACCTCAAGGAACTCACTATGTAGGCCTACATATGTTTACAGCAGCCTTTCCCTACATGTTGTAAGTTTACACGTTGTAGTTTGTGGTTTTTCGCCATGATGTACACAGGGTTACTGCATTAACTTCCCGTGTTCTGTCCTCCCAATGTGTTTGTTATTATCAATATAACTATTCAAATCTTAGCGCCTGCTAAACGCAGGAACAAATAAGGGTTATTATGAACTTATTCCGTGATGTAGTTGTAATGGTATAAACTTATCCCATGATGTGGTAGCCTATGTATGAACTTATTCATTGATGTAGTGACACTGGTTGTAGACTAAGTATGAACTTATCCCATGATGAGGTTGTACTGGTGATTGATTACTTTTACAACGCTTGTGTCCATGCTGTTTTAGCATGCTCAAAGCATTCTGATGTCATACTCTATTTAAAGAAACATGTCTTTAAATCAAATGTCTCTTATACGATTTTTTATCATTCTTAAAATCTCTCAAGCGCTGAGGCCAACTGTTCCATAATTTAGGCGCCACAGCTTCAAAAGAGCGCACTCCAAAGGACATCTTTTTGTGTCCATCCACACTGGGGACTCACAGGAGGGACTTTGGTGTAGAGCGCAGCCTCCTTAAGAATGCATATTTGGAAATCAGTTGTTTTAGATAGTCAGGTACAGAGCCTTCCAGGTACAGAGTCTTCCAGGTACAGAGCCTTCCAGGTACAGAGTCTTCCAGGTACAGAGCTTTCCAGGTACAGAGCCTTCCAGGTACAGAGCCTTCCAGGTACAGAGCCTTCCAGGTACAGAGTCTTCCAGGTACAGAGCCTTCCAGGTACAGAGCCTTCCAGGTACAGAGCCTTCCAGGTACAGAGTCTTCCAGGTACAGAGCCTTCCAGGTACAGAGCCTTCCAGGTACAGAGTCTTCCAGGTACAGAGCCTTCCAGGTACAGAGTCTTCCAGGTACAGAGCCTTCCATACAGCTCTATGGCAGGGACATAATTTTGTGGTTTATACGCTCACTCACAGGAAGCCAGTGGAGAGTAGGTCAGATTTCTTTATCAGCGATGCTGCAGTACTTTGTACCTGCTGGAGTCTCTAAAGTTGTTTTGAGGTAAACCCCAGACAGCTATTACAGTAATCCAATCTGGATGGATTAGAGAGACTGCAACGGCGTTGGCTGAGACAAAGAAAAGTCTACCTAACTGTCTAAAATTATTAACTATGTGAAAACAACTCAAATAAAACAAGATCTTCTTTAAAATAAACTTTAATAAGAAAATCAAGCCATTTATTCAGTTAATTATTTTAAAATAATTATCTTCAAAACTAAGTTGTGTGGTTTTTGAAAGGTTAGTGCAGTATGCTTGGGAACCTGAGGAAATTAGCCTGAAACCTAAATATTATAGCTGTTGTGAGAACATTCTTTGGATCTCATTTAAATGGGAACCCTTGATTTCTGCCCCCGCACTGATCCCCCCACCCCATAAAACTGACAGAGTAGATACATTTTTTTTACTATAAAAATAAACCAAAAAAAACGCACACTGAAAATTAGTCATTAATAGGATTGTCTTAAAGTAACAAATATTTTATTTTCCTTGAAATTTTTATGTTTAAGCGGATTATATAGTTTCCAGGGATGAAACTTAGCAAGGCCAAAAGCATACCCTCAGGGCATAACAACTGGAATTGAATTTAGTGTATGTTGGGCTGGAGGACATGGAGTTATAGCTTGCCCTGGTTACCATTATGCCTAGTTTTGGCACTGAAACATGCACTACCCATAAAAAAATTGGTCATAATGTTTACTGGTACTGAAAAGTACTCAGAGGATCTCTACAGCATAAAAAGAAGAATGTGGTTTATAAGTTGGGGGGGGGGGGGGAAGGCCCCCCACCCTTCTTTGGAGGAGTGAATAAAAGTCAATTTTTTTTTTAAAAAAAAAAAAAAAAGTGGTTGTTTAAGGGGGGGGGGGGGGGGGGGGAAGGTCCCCTACCCTTCTTTGGATGACTGAATAAAAGTCCATTTCTTATTATTGATCGATGATCTTAATAATCTTCATAAAGGTCACTGCAGTGGCTTGAACAGTTGTAAGGTCACAAGAGACACTGAAGCTTACAGGACATTGGAAATATCAAGAATCTTAACATATTTTACACACAGAAAGTCTTACAAAGGCATTTTTCCACAACACACTAATTATGTTAGTTCATATGGCAATAGGAAACCACCAATTTTTGTAGTAAGCTGTAATGTGACAATGGTAAACACCCTGAGGTAAAAACCTAAGAAAACCCAGAACATCACAGAAGACTTGAGAAATTGGAGATTAACATGAGACCTAAAACTAAAAACCTGAACACATCAAGTTTAAAAAATGAAAAAAGTTCATGGATAACTCACAAGACGGTTGTAAATAAAACAAGAGTGGTTTACAAAATTCTCGCAACTGCTTCCAAGCAACAATTTAAAAAAAAGGTAAACATAAGGTAGGTTGTTTATGTTACTGGGTTGGTAACCTGGTGTCTTGTCTCATAATGACAATTTATAGTTTAGATTTATATTAATCAAGTTTCACATATTTTATCTTTTAAATTTAAGAAATATATGTCTACTTTCTGGATACTCTAAAAATACATTGCAATAAATGGTACAACTATAATACATTACCGTTTTTTTTAAAAATGATAAATTCTGGGTAACTTTTACATGAGATTGGTCCAACTTATGTTTTCTCAGAAACAGGAATGAAACTAATGAAAGGTACGTCTCTGAGGCCTGGTGATTCTAAAAAGCTTTGAATGTATGCAGAAAAATGCTTCTTTTTTTAAAAAGTTCAAATATTCAGAAATGGTAAGTTATTTCCATATGTTGCGTTTCAACTTGGCCAAACTTCTAATACTCATAAGCAACAAAGATAGTTATTATCAAATTTATTTATAAAATATAAACTGATCATAACCACAAAGAAAAAATGGTTATGTATCAAGGCCATATTGGGAAAGTGTCAATGCGGCTGTTTAAATTATTGATAAAATATATTTATACCCTGAAGGTGTAAAATATTCTTAACAAACAGTTACAAGGGCTTTTGAGTGTGATGACTAGACAGGCCATACAAAAGCAGTGTTCATTAAATGAACATAATAATGTTTGTGACATTGGAACTGTGGTGAAAATTTGGCTTACTTCATTGCAGTCTAGTTTTAACTACCAAGAATTTGTTTGAAATGATGCACAAAATTAAATATTTGAAAGAAATGAAAAAAATAAAAATAAATAAAAGCATCATTTGTATACAGATGACAACTAACAAAAGCTTAATTAATTAAAATATCAACCAAAGAAAAATAAAACAAAAGGAACACTTTATAAACATTTTAAAAGCAGATGTCACTTAGCCAGTAAGAAAAAAACAAAAACATTTCTTTTAAATAAAAATAACTTACATCAGCAAATAAAATGGAAATACCTTTTTAAAAGTAACTTATTTGAGAAATTTTGTATGACATTTCCACAACATGATTAAAATGTGTTGTCATTTCAGAATAATCTTGTTTTGATTTCAGCTGTGCTTTGTGTGTCATACACATGAGATGTCAAATAAGTTTAAAAAGCATGTTGAAATGACTCTTGAATTGTAACACAAGTTAATAGCAGGAAATCAGAGGCCTGTTGACAATGTTTCCAGTGACAACAATTAATTTGGCCTGTTGGAGAGTCATTGGTTTCCATGTTGGAATATTGAAAAAAAAAAGGTTTGGAGAGAGGAAAAAACAAAACAAAGAAATTTGTAATTAAAAAAAGTTGACTCATTTTTTTTTTTTCGTTACAAAATTAATTGCATAATTGTCCACACCAAGAGATGTCAAATCAAAACAACTTATTTTGAAAGATTTGATATATTAAAAATTTCAGAATGCAACATCATAGTGAGCATCATAAAAAGATTCTTAATACAACATTGATGAGTCATTTCTTATTTGGTTTTCTTGGTCTCATGAGATTTGCCATCATCAAAGCTCTCGCCAAACTCATTTTGTCTTTTTTTGTCCACTGGATAAAGCCTGGAAGATAGAACACAAGAAAATATGCCGTAATGCTTATTAAATATTTTGTGTCCCTTTTAGTCTCAATTGATTTTTAAAAAACATAGTGTAGACCAAAAGTTATTGCATTCTCAACCATAGATGACCAATCTAACATACATTATTTGAAGCTAATAGAAGAGACTTCATTCTTTCACTTAGTGCAGCAAGTGACCGGCCTAATATGAAAATGACATCTCTCTTACACAGAATGGGTGAAACAATGAGTTAACTGGTATGGTCCCCGTGTGTTGTGTAGAGGCTCAGACCCGAGGCAATGACTTACCATCTCTGGTACAAGTAAATCAGAAAGACAATGTCGTCCCTGAAGCACGCCAACCGATGGGAGGTTGGCATTGTGATGATAAATGCAAAGATGTCATCTATAAATGTGTTGACAGCCTGGTGGTGGAAATAAAAAGTAGCTTAAAAAATTCATTATTTATTTATTTATTTATTTAGGAGTTTTTATTTAGCGCTTACCTTAAAGCTCTAAGCGCTTTACAATTATTAAAAACATGTAAACTAACTAAAATAAAAATGAGACATTAGGATAGTAACTACTATACTATAGAAACAATTAAAATGGCTATAAAACGAGGACACTTTGGCACGTTTTGGCCTATATTACAGGATTAACCCGAGACAGAAAATTATACAATATGTTAGTTAATCTACTTTAATGAATCTGAAATTGGAGTGGAACAAAAATAGCTCAACAAATGTAGGCATCCATGCTTCAATAGTAATATTAACATTTTGATTCAATGGTAATAGTAATTTAATTTAATGTTTCATTGGTAATAGTGGCACTTTGGTTCAATGGTGACAATGGTTTAATATGATGCTTCAATGGTAATGTGAGTAATAGTGGCTTAAAGCGTCAATGATAATAGTGACACGTTGATTCAATGGTAAAAGTGACTTGATGTAACTTCTGAATGAAAACTGCTGGCAGGATTCTCTAGGATCTGCAATTGTTAGGATCCTGGGTTATGTTAAATGTAGCTAATTCCCCCCCCCCTCCGCTGTCATAATAAATACTTAGGACAACACTAAGATTTCTACCATTAATGCTAAAGTTTAACTCTGTGCTACTATTTATGATAGAGTTTAACTATTTGATACTATAATGATTTCAATGCTACAGTTTTAAAAAATAAGTGTAAAATGAAATTCCATCTGTAAAACTGAAACCAGACTTACCTTGTACATAAAAGCTCTCCATGGTAAATGGGCCACAGATTTCAGCTGTGTGAAAATACATGAAGGAATGAGCCACGTGTGATGATCAAGTATTTTTTTCAAGTGGCAATTTAAAGCTACTTTATGACAATGCAACGTAAGAAGCACCAACCAATAAGAATTAAATGTAGCTGTTCTGAAGGTAGAAAGAAAGATGTTGGCTAAAACATATTTTTTGGGGTTCATTAAAAGGCATCCCCAAATTTGAAACTATAAAATACTAACCAAACGATCCCTCAGGAAAGTATTCAAATGTGGTCATTATAGACAGCAGGCTTAAGTTTACTGTAACAGTATTAGTCTAAACATGACAAAAGTAGTCTTTTTAGACAAAATGAAACTGTGGCACTGACCTTGTAATTGACAAACAATTGAGGCAGCATGAATAAAAACCCAAAGGCATAAACACCTGATGAGAAGAAATAGAATAAATGGGATAAGAAGAGATGTCAAATAAAATAAATACAAAAACAGGAGTTAAACAGAAATATTTTTTGTATTCCTTTTGTTTTGGTAGTTTATTCGTTTGGCTGCTTGTCACCAATGTTAAATTCTTTAAAATGTTATAATTTTTGTTAACAAATCAATCATCTCAGATCAATGGACTCGTCAAACATAGCGACCTACCATGCACCAGACTGTGAATGCTCCATGAGTACCAGCTACAACAGAAAAGAAACATGTCATTGACTTAAACTGATGGGAAGAAACAGGGAAAACTATGTAAGGTACATCACAACCCCCCCCCCTCCAAAAGTATTAACTTTTAACTTACAAGTTCAGTAAGTGACATCATGTCAACATAGTAAAGCGTGTAAAAAAACCTTAAAGCACAAATTTACAACTATATTTTAAATTTCAGCTTGTCCAAACAACAAATTAACAAACTGAAGCCAGGAACACAGAAAATAAAATAATATGATGAGAGAGGCAGAAAAATAGAGGAATTTTTAGGTTGAACGCTCAGCACTGACCTTTTATGTTGAACATAGATAAGCGAGTACAGAGCCCCTCCTATACATAGAGGATATAAAACGTATGCCAAGTACTTCATAGCCTGCAAAGAAATTTTCTAAAATTACTATTTACACAAAAAAAACAAACAACAACTGTTTAGCTGAACACTGTTACCTAATTTTGTATTTTCCAACACTTGTTAACTATATAAAACAAACCTCAGAATCAAAAGCTTGGGTCTCTTTTTCTTTTTCGCTGCTTTCTCCGAACTTGGCACAAGTAGAGAAAAATAAAATATTAAATTTTAAGCCAGGTTCAAAATATGTTTGTCAAAGTGTTAAGCTAAGAAATTATATATATTAAACAGTTAAGCTGAAGAATTTTAAAGATTGAACTAATTAAAAGAACCAGCATTTTCTTCTTAAATTTAGTTTTTCATATACATCTTAATTATTCATGTTTATAAATTTCTATCAACCTGTTAACAAACCTGTGTGTCTAAACTGTTTACTGAAAGATAATGACATAAGTAAGTATCTTAACTACTACACTTCCCCAGATGAACTAAACAAGTAGGACTGATTAAAGAGCTTGAACTGTCTGTCAATTAACACTCATACAATTTTATAGTCATAATATATAATAGTTCATGATGTACCTGAACAGTTGGTTTGAACCCAGTGAAAATGACTGTTATCTTCATAGCCTTTGTTACTTTCCAAAGCTGTTGATGAGAGGTTATCTTCAAATCAGATTCAACATACCGCTGAGATTAATTTTCTATGTTACAAAGAATCAAAGGACAATAATTTTTTTTTAATATTTAACATAATTATATAATAAAGAGTATTATAAAAACATTTTTTTAAAAAAAGACTTTCTTATAAAGATGAGTTTAAACGCACCTTTAAGTAGAAAATAATTTTAAATTTCTTAAAATGCAGTACCGTTAGGCTAATAAAGTCTGGACAAAAGGGTAGTATGGTACTCTATGAAGCCCAGTGATTTGAATTAAATGTAGACAAAACTAAAATGTCTTTTTTTCATTTTTGAAAATATTTTCAGTATAACAGCATTAAATTTTGTTTACTGCTATTTAATTTAAAAAAAATAAAATTGTTATCTTTAATAAGACAAACCTTTCTACTAATATTTTATTAAAACAGTGGACGTGTATTACCTCAATCAACATTCCAATGCCTGCTGGAATGAGAACCAAGAGACTTGTCTTTTCATCCATTAGGTAAAGGAATATTATACCAGTAGACAGGCACCGCCATACAACTATAATAATGATATTGACAAATAAAAAGACTGAAGATATTGAAGATAAATCCATTATTAAAAATGTGAAAATAACAACAAAAAGACAGCAAAATAAATAGAGTGTTATGATCTTCTTAACGTTAAGACTTCACATGTTAGGATCTTCCTCTTTCTACATTAACAACTCCCGCAGTAAGAGCGTTTACTGAACGGGCAGTAGGCTCCACATTGTCTAGGGGTTACAATCACAATATAAATCACCAAACTACAGGATAAAAATACTACAGTTCTTTATTTACACAGACTATTAACAGGTTCAAGAAAACATCCTCTTTAGAAACAACACTACAGTCGCACTGCTCTTACTCTCGATCACTAACACTTGCACTATCACGCTGAACAACTGCCCTGCTCTCAATATCACTCAACACAGCACCTTTTTTATTAAAACCCTCTCTTCATAACTAAGTCTTGGCATACACTCAAAACCATGAACTAATCCCACGACCTGCAACTCGCAAAACCTCTCACAATCAACAACTTTCTATAAAAAACATTCACGCCCCTAAGTCAATCTAGTTCGCCATAGTTTCAAAAGAATTAATTCTCTGAGGCATTAGCTAAATGACCACACAGAGATATTTAATGATTACTAACCTACTCGGGTGGACAGTCCAACCATCGTTTCCCTAGAGCGCCAATACATGACTTCACTCTTGAAAGCCAGGAAGTCAAACAACAGCTGAAAAATTAAAATTTTGATGCTTACATTTTTAACTTTACCATTAAAATTTTTTTTTTAAAAGGATGTTTCGCCAAGATTGCTGCAGCCAGCCAATGAAAGTACTTATAAAGTCAGAAAATAATCAGTGTGATTTCAGCTTACATGAAATAATGAGACAACAAAAGTCAGAATCAGCAAATATGCGTTTGTGTCCACCAAAATCCCTTTCACTTCATCCACATCTTTCTCTGTGAAACCTAGAGTAAAAATGAATGTCAGGGATTAGGTGAGATGGGGGTGTGTAAAACAGCTGAAATAATCTAAGCGTTCTGGAGACAATAGGATATCTTATGTAGTAAAAATAAACCGCAAATATTAAATGTCAGTTGGACCTGAAAATAGATTTAATACAAATTAAATATAAAAATTTATTACCGAATTGTTTAAGCGTTTTCATTGACTGGGAAAAACCAATCCACAACCTCATTTTCCAAAGTGATATTGGGGTATACTTTACTGTCAGCGGCAAAACAGTGGATGATTCGTTCACAGGCTAAACATGGATTCAACAAAGTGATGTTTTTTTAACAAAGGTTTATCATGTGATATTTATACATATATTTAAACATTTCAATAAACTAAACAAAAAGTGGAACAATCAACATTCGGTCTTGAAAGAAAAAAGACGAGACAATTGAAAAGACGTTTTCGCTAAATGCCTTCTTCAACAGAAAAGACCGAACAAGAAACAACAAAAATAAACATGCGAACTTTGGTGATCGAAGATACTGACAAAATGTATTTCTCTCTGTCTATATTAAGAAATAAAAACACTCTGTTCAAAACAGAAGTAGAGTTGTTCAAAACTAAAATGTGCGTCCCACATAATTTTGTGGTGCATACTATCAAGGTAAAATAATTTAAGTGTTAATAATGTAAAGTTTAACATTTTAAACAACAAAAATTGAGAATAGAAATGGAGGGAAATTGAGGTCCACTAGTAAGCGAGTATTTGATTGATTTCATGTGGTGACATGCTGCCAAAAATCTGAATTAATTTTTTTTCATTGTTCAATCTCGCTGTTGCCGTAACAATAGTCCAAGAAATTAGAGCCATGATGGATACATTGATGTATCCCTATGTTCACCTCCGTTCAAATGAGATGAGACCAGAGATAGCTTGTTTTGTTCAATATCACAAAGATGTTTATTGAGCATATCAAATAACTTTCTTCCAGTCTCACCTACATAACAGGAGCAGCATCTTAGGCAAACAATAAAATAAATCCCATTTCACCAGAAAAACTATTGCTATAGGTAATGTTACAGTACTAAAAATATATAAAGAATATAAAATTCACCATGAGGTCTGAGAGACGAAATCCCATCTCATCAATGAAGACGACTGGAAAATAATGTTTTCCATCTTGAGCAATGCTGAATAATATAATGATTCTGATTAAACGCTAGGACATAAATACTTTGAGGAATATTAGTTTTAAACTTTTGATGGCAACAGACACAAATTAAGGTTAGAAATAAGAAAAAAAATACACCCAAAAAATAACAAACAATTACCATGAAGAAAACGCTCCCTTTTTAATATCTGACTTGTAGATAATAAAAAGAATGCTCTAAGTCCTTTCAAAAGTCTTACTGAAAGTTTTTTTTAATTTTACATATTTCAACAATAGTATGAGTAAGTCAAATAGAGTTTTTAAAGTAAATGATTACAGATCTTGAGTCAATGAAATAAAAGGATTTAAAAAAAATTAGTTCCCTTCCAGTATTAACAAGCAAATTCTAAAAACTTTTGTTTAAACAAAAATTAACTTTTATCCTTAGTGCCCTGATAGCTTTTTTATGTAGGTGAAATTTGAAATGAAATTTAAAAAAAAACTTGTTTTAAAAAGACATTAATAACTTTGCAGTTAACATAATTTTATTGCTATTTACATACGTCAGGTGGTAATATATTTCTTGAGGAATCTGGTAGCGATGCAGTGCAGCGCTGTCATGAAGTACATTAACTGTTAACAGTGGACGCCAGTGAGTGTGAGGCTTTTTGTCAGTATTGGATCCTTCAGGATCTGAGGATTTCTTTTTAACAGCTTCAACCTGTACATGTTAATTTTCCATTTTTAAACAGAGGATTTATATGTACGCATGTATGTATATTTTGTTTACTTTGGTGAAATCCAACATATTTATATGAAATTTAAGAAATATAGTTTTGGTAGAGAATAAATTTAGATATGTGCACCAAACTATATTATACATGGCCATCAATGGAATTTTAATGACTCGAGTGTCAAAAATGTTTCCAAATAAATTTAAATCAGTAGGAATATACAGGGAAAGACTTTTATTCACATATGTTGCAATGTCATGATGAGGACCATTGACCCCTGTAGAGGCAGTTTTTTTTCTTTTAGATTTACAATTAAATTAGCTTGGCAAATCTTGGTTATAAGACCGAAAGGTCATGGGTTGCAAGGTAAATAATAAAGGTGTTGACATCTTATTTTATTTATCATACAAAATTATTAGTAGGCTTAACCTGTAATTAGACAGCCATTTAATTGGTAATTTCGTCTCTTATGCAGATGTCATTGAAATTCTGTTTTAAATTTAATATTTTAAACTTACATCCTCTTCAGAGCCACCGAGCAAGTTGACATACACTGTTTGTGGGAGGGCTAATGTGGTTATAGGAGAGACATAATGTGATACATATGAATCTTTGGGATTTTGACCTCGGTGGTACAGTAAAGCATGTACGTAAAGTGAGCCATTATTTCGTGTCGCTGTCGGAATGCTGACGTTAAATGTTCTGCAAATTAATATTAAGATAAATAATAATAATAAGAGTGAAATAACAACAAAATTTCAATATTATTCAAAATCTGAACTTGAAAACATATTAAATGACATATTAATTGTTCATTAGTTAAATTTTAGTTGTTAGATTAGGTATAGTTTCAGATGTTGCGTCATGTTATAAAAATTAATATATTTAAAAGAGCTTACTTTTCAACAACTTCATTGATGGAGAAATTGCTATAATTCCAAACACTTGTTAAATCACTTTTCTTTCTAGTATCCAATTTTTTCTGTGTTGAAACAGATATCTGTAGCTGTAGAAGAGGGATAACCTTTGAAGTAAAACTAAAATATACTTAACAATTTCTTACATATTTTTTAAAGAAGGGCAATAATTGCTCTCTTGCTCTCCTTCTTTTGTATTATAATCTGCCATAGCAAAAGGTGTGTGTGAGAGAGGAAGGGCAAAGGGAGGAAGCTTCCCCAATGCCAACATCAGGGGAGAAAAAGGAAAGGGGGGGGGGGGCAAAAAATCAATTATCCATAAATATAAGGTTATATCATTTATTGATGAAAAGGGGGAGGGGTGTCATTTTCAACCCCACCCCCTTCCCCCCAGCAGTGTTTCTCTTTTCTTTCCCACGGCATGATAATAATTATGACATTAATAATGAAACACCAGACTCTGTTAAAATCTCTGTTTAATCAAACTACTCAAACCATTAAATTACCTTATCCGCAATATGAAGAAATTTTTGAATGTGTTAAACAATTTAATCTTTAATTCAATAACACCCATGCTCATGTAAATTTTCTAACCCTTAAACTTACTGTATTAATTCCAATGCCAATGCCTTTAAAAAGATCTAAAAACCATTTTGTTTAAAAAAGATACTTACTCCCAATTTGAGAGAATCATCTGAGAAGGGGTGAATGCAAATTTTCGGCTGTGTACATGCAGATGGTACAAAAACAGAATAAACGGTGTACACACTGTAAGATATATAACCCACAAAAGCAGCAATTATAAGTTTGGTCCATGGAATGGCAAACATTTTAACTAATATGATAGCTGTTTCCTTCTTTAACAGATGTAACTTGCGTAATTTAATGTCATTGACTTTGACCAATTAAGCCAATTACCTGTAACAAAAGACAGAATTTTTACAAATGACAAAGGTAGTTAAGGAGGAGACATATTTAGCTTTTAAGTTTACTATGATACTGCATCATGCATAATATGTCTTAGTAATTATAGTATCTATATATGTCAAAAGTCATAAATAGGATAGTTTGTTGTGTATGTGTTTCAATTTAAAAGGGTAGACATCTAAGGCAATACTGAATGAACTGAATGGTAGGCCTAGTTAAGTGTCATTAATTATTAATAAACAATATTTCATCATTAGTCATTAGTAGTCATAGTAATAAGTAATTCAGAGTTAAAAAGACAAAAGAAATCAAATGCAAAGAAAGACATTAATGACATTATTAATGATACCCATACTTTTTCTCATACCATTGTCATTGAAGACCTTTCAATAATTTCATGATTCTAAATTTTATTTTAGCCAACAGTGGCAATGGATACATTTCATTATAATTATAGGCATAGATAGATAACATTCATAAATTATGGTTCTGACAGGCCAACAAGCTTCCACCCTTGTCTGGCAGCATTGGCACTATGGTGACGTTGACGATTCATTTTTAATTTCCGCTTTTGTACGCCTTTTATTTCTATTAACCTACTAATTTACTACTATACTGTATTATACTATATGACATGATAAACTTCCTTTACTTTCAAAATGAGCTTTATTTTTACCCCCATAATTCATTTTAAAAAATAATAGAAGTTCTTACAATAAGCTGAGCGACAAAAGGAGTCCACGATTTATCTTTATTGAGGTACTCTCCTTTTAAAAACATTTTCAAAAATATATAGGCCCTAGGACTAAATTGTCTAAATAGATAGGATTCATCATTTCAGATTGTTACCGGTGACACCAACAATATTTGGTAACTCTAAATAACGTAGACCAACAACAACAAAACTTGGACTTTTTGTAGATGAAACATATACAAACATTAAATATATTTTTATCGCAATTAATATCTGAATTAAAAAATCTAAATCAAGTAAATGCAATTATTTTAACTATGATTATATTAAAAAGTAATAATTCATGATTTTTTAAAGTTCAATAATGTGAAAGAGTGACGTGGTGATTTGACTATTATGATTTATTAAATGATGATGATAAATGGGAGATATCCAGATATCAGAACAAGGTGTGTTTGCCCTCCTCAATACCATTAACCCTTACAAAGCATGTGGTCCTGACAACATTAAACCACGAGTGCTCAAAGAATTAGCCAAAGAAATCGCTCCTGCACTGACAATCCTCTTCCAATCGTCACTATGCACAGGAAATGTTCCAGCAGACTGGAGAACAGCGCATGTCACTCCAATTTACAAGAAAGG